CAAAACCTCCGATCATCTCTTACAAAAAGGGAAAATCCCTTGTGAGGGCAAAAATATAATTAGAAGGCGATAATGCGACGCGACCACAAAAGTTACATGGGGAGGTCGAGCCGGTCTATCTTTTTCTTTATACTAATTTCAATGTCCCTTATCAATAGATTTCAAGAAAGTAAACAAGATTTGATTGGTTCATCTTTGTTCATCAGGCGGGAGACTGGTTCAAGTTTAAATCGAGAACAAATCCATATTAGCACTGACGATTGAGTTTTATCACTAGCGATTGATACCTTAGCACCAACGATTGAGTTTTACCACTAGCTATTGATACTTTAGCACTAACGATTGAGTTTTACAACTAGCGATTGATATTTTAGCACTAAAGATCGAGTTTAACCACTAACGATTGATATTTTAGCACTTACGACTGAGTTTTATCGCTGGCAATTCAATGATATTTTTGGCACAAATGGCTCCCCATATCTCTCAGCTACAGCCCTATGTTGTAAATGGTTACAATGATTTTCAATGACGAAATGTAAAAAATTCACATGATCAACATCAATGATAACAGAGCCATTATCTAAGACCTTAGATAGGTGTTTAAAATAGCATGCTAATGTCTAAAATCAGACACTATATGGTAAACAATTTTACACTAGTGTCTAGAAATAGAACACTTGTGTTTAGAATCTGACACCGGTGTCTAATATATAGAACAATAGTGTTCACACCGCAGTATTCTTTGAAAAAGCAGATTACAAACTTGCAAGAATTTAGGATGGGGCTCCTAAAATTTCATAATTTCGATTCTATAATACATATTTTCAAATCATGAAATCCGCTGTAACTTATCATGAGCACTTAAACTGAAAAAGCAAGGAAATTTTTTAACCCTTTAACTCCCAGTTTGTTATTTGTTGTGCAAGCCTTCAGGACAATTATTATCAATATAGTGTAAACAAGTTCAACTGCTTTGCATTTCCAAAACTGAATGATAATTTGCTGTTTTCAGAGTCTAGAGGATTGAAATTTTTAACCATGCATGAATATAGTTATCGATCAATCAAACAATCATTAGAGTTTGCATCCACGCATTCACGTAATTTCCTCTTTCAGTTTACTGAGTAAAGAAGCTCTTCATCTTTTACACCAGCCTTTAAATTATCCAATGAAGTCGAACAGCGTAGTTGTTGAACATTCGTTGTCAAATATGCAACGTGAGGGGTAATAATCACATTTGACATGTTAAATAGGGGGTGGTCCTTGGGAAGAACTGGTGGATCTGTGACATCTAATGCTGCAGCTTTTATAACCCCCCTCTGTAATGCCACGGTAAGATCATCATGATTGACAGTTCCTCCACGACCTACATTAATAAGTGTTGCTGTAGACTTCATAATCCTGAGTTCTTCTGCTGAAATGAAATTAGTTGTTTCAGGGGTCAATGGTAAGCACAGAACAACAAAGTCAGATGCTGTCAAGAGCTCCTTTAATTCCAAACAGAATGTAGCACCTGAATTTCATGGAGAAAAGAAACAAAAATAAGTGAGAAATACAGTAGTGTTCCCATCTTTAATGATGTCGTCAATATTGTTTATGAAAATATGTAGGTTCAATTCAGGCCTGTAACTAAATATGGCCTCTATCTCCACTAAAAGAAATGGAAAAGGGAGTCAAAAAAAAAATTCAGGCTTACATTGTAAGTGAGGTGTAATCCTGCCTTACAATTACAGAAACCATTACTTCTTCTGACAAAAAATTCAAATTTAAGTAAACAAGAAATTTTAGGGATATTTCCGGATGGTTATTTCTTTCTCAAGTGTAACAAGGAGGAGTCGCCATCGTTGTAATAAGCGTTAAATCGAGGCTTCTCCATATAATGATTATCCTAAATTCTCTTCGCCAATTCGTTAATTTTCTGCACGTAGCTATGGACATATCTATAGATGCTGTTAGCGGCCCTCTTTCAGCACTTGTTTCAGCTTTACAGAGCTAGGATACGTTTTTTTAACGTAAATTAAGTTTAAGTCACCCTTAGCTATTAAGAGTGCAAGCGGGCACCAATGTGTACATAGAGACTATTTCTACTCCTATTCTGAAGTTCAACTTCGAACTTATAGCCTTTTTTCCCTAAAGTCATGTTTTCAACCGACAAAATCACAAATTACCATCACAAGTCAAGTGCGTGCTCCCAGTTTTTCAAAGGACCCATTAAGTTTTTCTGTAATGCAAAAGATAAGGAAGTGAAACGTAGTGCTAAGGAGGACAGGAGGAAGTGGTTAAAGGAGAGGGCTACAACAGCAAAAAAGGCCAATGAGAACGGTAGAAACAAGGAGCTCTGGTGAGAGCGATAGTAAGCACATATGAAGGGTTTGAATGCGCTGTGATCGCCGACGGATGCGAAGCATCAGACTGGTTCAAGATTAAGTTGGGAGTAAAGTAGGAATGTGTAATGTCAGGATTCTTATTCTTACTGGCCATGAAGTGTCGGAGGATCTTGATTTTTCGGACAACAGCGCACTTCTTTCATCCAAGTTCAATGACTTGCGTGAGAAGACTGGGAGATTGATGAAGGAAGCAGCTAGAGCTGGCCTTAAACTTAATGAGAGAAAGTGCAAGACACTGAGGACTTAGTTTGTTAGGAACAGGGAGAACATTGTGGTGAATGGTGAAGAAGTGGAAGATACCGAGGAGTTTGCGTATCTTGGAGCTATTGTAGACAAGGAAGGTGGAGGCAATGAAGATGTTAGGAACAGATTGTAGGCACAAGGTACATTTCAGAGGCTATGGAAGGTGTTGTCGGCCAGAGAAATAGGAAGGAGAACCAACATACCCAGATCACAAAGACCGATGAAAGAAAACTGAATAGTTTCCAAAGCCAGTGCCTAAGACGGAAACTGAGGATGAGATGGCAGCAAAGAATGACAAACAAGAGAGTAGTTGAAATGGCAGAAATCAATGAAATTAGCTGCGAGGTGCGAAGAAGGTGGAACTAGTTGGGACACGTACTCAGGAGAGAGGGTGGGAACGACTGTTTTACGGCATTGGGGTGGACACTAGAAGGTCGAAGGGCGAGAAGGAGATCAAAGACCACTCGGAGAAGGACTGTCAAAAGAGAGGGGGGGGAAGTATTTTGTAGAATCAAACATTAATTTTTAGATACAATAAGGTAACTGATTTGAGACAATCGTTTTGAGAAATATCACCATTGAGACCTCATTGCCAAAATTGTGTGGTCTCGGCTTAGTTTAAGGTGTTGCAGACTATCTGAGGGTTCAAACTTACTCATTCTACAAATCACCTCGATCGGTATCACTTGTTACCTGAAGATTTTTCTAGCTCTTCTTTCCTCGTCCGACAATGATACAAAATGTTCATTTTGAATCCTTTGGCTCGCTCAGTAAGTGCCCTTCCAATATTCCCAAAACCGACAATGCCAAGAGTTGAACCAGTCACTTGTGATGAAGGAAGTGAGCGCAAAATATTCTGGTAAAAATAAAGTTAACTTCTTGATAATTATTCTAGTGTAATACCCGGGGATCACTTAAATACCAAATACCTAATATTGCCTTAATAAACTCCTGTTTATGTAACAGAAACTCAATGATTTCGTTGAAGTTAAACCCCTCTCTTACCTAAATGGCCTAACTCACTGACATCAGATTAGACTTCAAACAAAAAATGCCTCACAAGCCATTTGGCTGTATATCATACATCTATTTCGGAGGAAACTCGTGAATCTGCATCAATTATATGCTCTTCGGGACAGTTCAAATACTAATCCCACCAGAAATGTCAACAAGAATGACCATTCATCTATGCATGCAAACTGGACAATTTCAAATGCTGACCTATAAATCCATCATATTTAATTTTTTCCTCTTCATTTGCACATCTCGGAGAAAATTAAACTAACCAATACAATTTTGCAAACAATCTAGATATTTTCGTCAACCCCCGGAAGTCTTCGGCACATTTTCGGAAATTTCCGTAAGTCGTTGGAGTATTTTCCAGATGGAGGATAAAATCTTACCGCTAATTGTGCTGCATCAGACGACTTTGCTATTTCGTTTGCCAGTAAAATTGACCTCGCAGATGCCAACAGCAAACCGAGAGCAAACTCTGCGACGGAATCGCTCGTAAAATGGCCCGGAACATAACCTACACGAATTCCACGTGCGGTAGCTTCCTCTACATCAATGTGATCCACACCTGCGCTTGGAGTACTGATCGCTTTTAAATTCGGCAGCAGGTCCATAATTTCTCTGTTCACTCTCATTTTTGAACATCTAAATCCATCGTTGCAAATTATTCCTTTCACATTTTCCCGCTCGTTTTGGCTCAGATCAGCGACTTTCACTCCGTGGATGAGAATAAAATCGTCCTTATATGAACGCTCGGCAAGTTCTAACATCATAGGCGATGGAGAAGTCGAAGGAACCAAACACAACACAAGTGGACGTGAAGACATCGTAAAAGATTTCCTTAAGATAGTAAACGACAGCCAACACTGTGATTTTATTTATAAGTAAAATGACGTGGGTAAGTGTCGAGGGCTGAGCCTGACGTGGTTCTATTGTGCGATAAACCAAATTAGTTGGTTGACAACGGGAAATGATTTTTGTAATCATATACAGTTCAAGAAAGGGATAATCTTTTGTGAGAGAATAACACTGCTTGTTATCGGAGAACGCCGCCTTTTATCGTGATATGTTGATTTATTAGAAGTAAACATTTAAAAATTCTGCCATTGCGTGGATACTATCTCCAGAGGCCGGAGAATCAAGAAAACGTGAACTCAAGGTTGTACACCATTTCAAGTGGTTAGAGTGGACTTGCAGGTCCTATTCTTTACCAAGTAAGTCCTAAGAAAGAAAACAAAGCGTATTTGGTGTTATACGGATGCAGCTTGACCAGGGCAGTTCACCTTGACTTAGTTAAGTCTCTGGAAACCAACTATTTCCTGGCAAGCCTGAAAAGATTTATTGCCCGTAGAGGAATACTCAAACTATGGATCAACATTTAAAGTTACTTCCCACCATCAGAGGTCGAAAAAATCGATTTTCTTTTATATAACCAAACTGAATTCAAACATTGAATCTGACGTTTCCTTTAAGAAATTTTCTGAAACCTTCAAAAGCACCCGAGTTATTTAAAAAGACGCGTTTTCAAATATAACTTTATAAATCAGGAAGGTGTCATAATCTCGGTCCTGGGCGAAACCCCTGAGGGAACTTCCGCGGCAACCTCTCATCTTAGGGCTCGTTTTTCAGTTATTTCCATATTTTGTTTGCATCGCGCACTTGACAAAAGTCACACGTGGCAGCTCTTCGTTTATGGAAAAAAATCTTTGCTTGTAGTAAAAGAGAAACCGGAGGAAAGTCCTTGGTAAAAAAGAAAAATTTCCTGCTATGAGGGAAAAGTCGCTTAAATTATATCTTTATCGTAAGCTGCAGATAGTAAGCTTTCTTCTGTTGTACAGATTGCTAAGATTTTAGTTAAACCAGTGCGCGTACGAATTTTTTTCCGAAGGACACTCGCGAAGGTGGGAAGAAACCTTAAGACGCAGTCTCTCTAAAAGTGTTCTGGTGCGTTTCGAGTCGAAAAATCGATTTCTCTCAAACTTTGCCCAAGAATCTTTCTTAGTCTACAAGTAATCGAAACCACCTTGGTTTTTTCAAATAAAGCAAAATATTTTTTTTCTGAGCGAAAACCCTTCGGTGCTCAAACGCCCGTTTTTAACAACACCGATTATCAAAAGTAGCATAAATTGCTGACCTCGTATTTTTACGAAATTATGCTTTAAGCGTTTTGTTTTGTTTCGCATATTTAGATCAACCCTTTATTACAACAGAGCACATAAGTTTTGTTTTTTTAAGGGTTCTTTTCGCTAAAAATATTTTTGTTTGACACACTTTGACGCTACCGCCGTGACCTGAAATATGCAACTTTTTATCTCGGCTCAGCGCAAAACTTCAGCCTCTTCCCGTCTGTATCTTTTATTCAGACTGGCTAAAATAGGGTAGAAGAGCATGGAAACATAAAACATGCTGTGGTTTCGGCGAAATTCCGAGTCTAGAATAGCCGGCTAACAAATTACGCGCATTTTCGAAAATCCATATGGCCAACTTGTGTTTGACGAGTGATTTGAGTCCTTAAAAGCTTTTTAATGAGTTGCATTAAGATAAAACATCATTGAGTAGGAAAAGATCTTCATTTTCATCTCGAAAAACAGATCTGCCGAAAGCTTTCTCTTGGCTCTAGGCAACCTCTAATCTATCAGTCATTTAAAGAGAAAGGGGGGAAAACTTTAGTGGCCAGGACAGCTATCACAAGATTCAGGTTTATTCAGAATAATACTAAGTTTCAAAGTCAAAGTTTTCGTATTCGTGGTACTTAAAGTAAATTATTTTTCAGTTGATTTATGTGACATGTGATCAAAGAATATTTTACCACGCGGACTGATGTATCTTAAGGCCCTTCTTCTGAGTTGATGAAACCTCAAGTTCTCACGAAGCGTGGGACAAAGAAAAAATTATGAGTCCCCATGGACTCTTTTTCTTTTCTTTGGGGACTTTATCCCACGCTCGTGACAAGACGAAAACCATATTTCTCTATTTCGTTACCGAGCTCAAACCTAACCATCTCTCTTATGTAAATTAAGTTCCTCGTGCTGCTTCGTCCATGTTGATAAACCACATGTTTTCAAGTAATCGTCTACGATTAAAGATTTGACCGGAACATATAGAAATCAACCAGGTAGAATAGTTCCAAATACTACAGAGTTTACGAGACTTGTTTTTTTTTTTTCCTGCAATACGTCCCCGCACCAAAAAGTGCGCGGGTGTGTTTTCCATCAATTAATTTTTTGTCATTTAACCTTATGCAGTCTCAAATCTCACCTCTAAGAAGAAGGACTTTCATTTTACTCATTACCCTAGTTTTCGGTCCTGGTGTTTCCAGAACACTCAAATAAATATAAATCTTTTTAAGTCTTCTTATTTTCTCACTTCGTTCAGGTATTCTTTCCTAAAGGTCTACTACGTATAATCCAGAATCCAAATAAACCAAACTGTCACAAATGTCATTGACAAAGTTGTGGAATTAAAATATACCGAAATGATTGTTTGAAACTTGCATTGCGCATAATTTTACTTTTTCGTGAATGAGCAATCTTCGACTATTTTTTTCCAAGCCAAAGTTGATTTGGTGTCTCTTGAGTTAGATGTGATCTCAAAATGCTTGCACATTTCCTTGAGCATCTTAACCTTGAAAAATAAAGGTTTATTTTCAAACGCCATTTCGCAAAGGTTGTAGATGTCATACATCACTGGATGCTTGATACCACTGATTTCAGACTGTACGTCTACACTGGCTTTCTCGAGCATATGTTCATCTGTTAGCGAGGCAAACTCTTCAGCTATTTCTTCATGATTGTCAGGCTCAGCGTCATCGCTGGAGGTTTGCTTGCCACCTGATCGCTTTCTCTTCGCAGAGAGTCGCGAAAAAATCCCTGAATTTGAAGCTTTGAAAGCCACTCCATTCTATAAAACATTCGTGTGCCATTTGTGTTGCGAGCATTGCACATATCGTTAGCTACTTGTGCAGGACCTCTTTTTCTCCCAGTTTTTAGACCAAATCAATAATCCATATGGTTTATTTGTTTTGTGTTTCGAAAAGGTATCTCACTTCCGACGATTTTATGCAAACTTATAGTTCGTGGACACAAAAGAGGGAAACCTTTCAATAAATAAATTCTCGTGGTGAAATTTCATTAGATTAAAGGTTACATTTTCGAATTGAAAGGACTACACTTTAAGTGTTGTTAAGATGAACAGTTTCTAAATGAACAACTTGAAATATTCTGAATAATCTTGTCATAGTTACCTCGGCCTCTAGACTTTTCCCCCCTGGCTTTTCTCATAATTGACTGATAAACAAAACAATAGGTCGCCTTGAGCCAAGAGTCAGCTTTCAGCGGCTCTGTTTTTCCAGATGAAAATGAAGATCTTTTTAACTTAATGATGTTTTATCTTACTGCAACTCATTAAAAAGCTTTTATGAACACAAATCACGCCTCAGTTACGAGTTGGCCGCATAAATTTCGTTTATTTTTGAGACCGCCCTCATGTGCATTGTTAGGTCGAATTTCTAAAATGCGCGTAATTTGGTGGCCGGCTATTCTAGGAGTTCGCCGAAACCACAGAAATTTTTTATATTTCCATGTTCCTCTACCCTACAGTTTGAACACCTCATAGGAATCTTTAAGAGTGTATTTTATAAGACCATTAGGCAACGGAACATTGTGTTTCTCAGAGTTGGAGGAAGTTGTATTGGATGTAGAAGTTGCCTTGAACAACAGCCCTCTTAGTCTGGTAGCAGAGACCGGAAAATCGGGCTTTCGTTCACCCACGAGCTAGAAAAGGTTTGACAGTTGATTTTATTAGACCAATACCTCCTGAGTAAGGCTCACTACGTCGTAAAGTCGAGAAGTGATATACGATCTGAGAGAAAGGGGGGTTTGCTACGTCACCCATTAGTCAGTGTGAAAACAAGGTTGTAAAGTGCATAACATTTGTTTACTCCTCTTTTTACACCTTTATCAACGCTTGCGGTCCAAATACCCGGTTAGTTCAAAATACTTGCTTCATTAGTTTACTTTTACCAAAAAAGCGACGTCACGTGACTCATCACGTGAAGAAAAATCCTTAAGGAATTGTTAGACCTGAGGGATGCATTCTCGTGACTTTCAACACTTCATCAGCGCAACGTGCTAGCTCAAACTGAACAGCTCATTTTCTTCTTTAAACCACTCTTGTTTAGCCTGACCAGTATAAAAAATGACTTGAGGTCGTCTCTCAAATGCAGAACACTCTTTTAGCTCGTAAATCCTTCTACCTGTTTGTAGGGATAGTTTCTTGTCATTGTGGTTGGCCAGTTGGACTGGTGGTGGTTCTGGTCCATACGGTCATACGGCAACCATAGATGTCGCATGAGTTGTGTTTTTTTCCATCGAGGGTTTCTTCATTGACATCTGTGTTGTCTGTCGCTAGTTGAAGAAACAGACAAGGTGCTATATTTGTCGGTACAACAGTGCCATACTCATCCGCATTAGCAAGTATTTCCGCTGCAATATTGGTGTCTGTCGCACGTAGTTCGTAACAACTACAACAGTGTCCCATTTTGTTGAGGAGTGTTATAAGGAGACGCGATGAGGTGAGATGGTGCACACATAATGCTTGGCCTATGTGCTTTGGAAGCTTTGTACGCGTACGACTATTACTTGAGCAATGAGTAATGTCCTGCGCAATACTAATGACTTGATGTTAGTTCTTCAAGGATTCACTGTAGTGACAGTCTGAAAACTTAATAATTATCATCTTAAATTAGAAGCAGAGGATAAACAACTCTGAGCATCAGCCTCGTCTTCATGTTTTGTTATTTAATCGACCAAGCATTGATTTTCGATCATTAAAAAAAGAACAAAATACCTGTAAATGGTGAAGTGAACGTTTGGACAGCCAAATGACAAAAGGTTTTGGATAAGAGAGGCCGAGAATCAAATTTCATACTTGTCTATAAAAGGACAAGGATTTTTTTTACATTTTCAAGGGCTTCTTTTTTTTCTTGTCTCGTGATAAGTCACGTGACGTCGCTTTATGGTAAAATTTAACTAATGAGGCAAGTATTTTGAACTAACTGGGTATTTGGACCGCAAATGTTGATGAGGATGTAAAAAAAAAAAGGTAAACAAATGTTACGCTCTTTACAACCTCGTTTTCACGCTGATGAAGGGGTTACGTAGCAACCCCCTTTCTCTCGGATCGTATACCACTTTTCGACTTTACGACGTAGTGAGCCTTACCCAGGAGGTATTGGTCTAATAAAATCCACTGTCAAACCTTTTCTAGCTCGTGGGTTGAATAAAACCCCGATTTCCGGTCTCTGCTACCGTACTGAATTACCTAAGGGATGATGTCCAGTTACCTATTTTCACTTCAAATTCGATGCTACGCGTCAACCCGACTCATCTTCCAGAATTACATGCGCATGCACTCCACTACCCCAACAAGGATCTGCGGAAACGGGTGCGATACCTATGCGATGGACCCGTGAGTATGTGCGGAGTCTACCAGAACAACATCGTGAAGTGGGGGAGAAAGCAGACCTCTCATCCCAACGGTGGAGATGTTGTGATTGTGCAAGACGAGAATAAGAACCGGAATCACTGGAAACTAGGGACTGTGACCTGGCTCATTAAGGGGAGAGACGAAATGGTCAGAGGTGCAACTCTTCGAACAAGCTAAGATCGTAGCTTGAAGCGTCCGATTCAACAGCTTTACCCTTTAGAGCTTTCATGCGTTATGTGGCCAAATTCAGCTCTTAACCCGAAGCCGTTGAATTCTGTGTGAGACCGAGAAGGGATGCTGCAGCGGCATATATACAGTTAAAGAAAGGGATAATCTTTTGTCAGAGAGTAACATTGCTTGTGATCAGAGAACGCCGCCTTTACCGTGATATTTTGATTTATTTGAGATACACTTTCAAAAACTCTATCTACTGTGTTTACAGCGGCCGGAGAATCCAGCAAATCCGTTCTCGCAAAAAAACGTTAAAAAATAGACCCGCTTTGCAGGTTACAACCTATAACTCCCCTTTACTACCGGTAAGTACCCTAGAGCGTTACTATTTCTCTATTGCGTGACATCCGGTGAGCCTGGTCCGTGACGGAAAAAAAGAGGGTCAGAGGACAAAAGAGGGTCACAAAACGATGACGACAAAAGAGGGTCACAAAACGATGATCTCCAACGATGCAAAGTTTATAACAAACGGAATCCAAGATCCAGGCCTAAAGAATGAATATGCACTCTTCGGCAATTACAGAACCTGCTTGTCCATACAGATTTTGCTCTTGGTTCTTAATTAATCTGGGACAAATCTTTTCCAAAATCCGTAGATCTTCAACCCATAAATCAGCAAACCTTTTTTTCTAACTCCGCTTTTCTCTTTGATGGCTTTTTATTTCTGAAAGCTCGCATATACATCGAAAATCAGTTGTGAAACGAAGCCCACTTATTGTTATTTAGGTGAAAATCGCATAAAAAAGGGTATAGAACATGCATTTTACTTTGTCCAGAGAGAAACTCATTTCAATAATCAAGATGTTTCAGAAATTTTGACACAGTAGAATTTCTTTGTCTTAGTCTCTTACAAGGGGCAGCGAAATAGAATTACTTTGTCTCAATCTCCTACAGCTTACTTGAGTACGAATCATTGTTTGAATTTTATTTGTAACAGTCGCACCTGTTCCGCTACCCCCTGGTTTGCGGTTAAAGAGCTCTAAAATTATTATTAGCCTGTGAGTACATCCTGGTTATTTGCACTGAGGCACGAGCGCCTTTTAGCCCGCTAGTAAGTTTAACGCCATGTGCAGTACGAGAGAGAGAGGTCTGTATAGGATCTGGAATCTTTGACCTTTCGCCGGCTAGCGTGGCTAAAGGCTTCAAACTTACTGTAACCCATTTTGGGCTAATGATGAGGCCCTGACCGTAAGCTAGAAAAGGATGCGATCGATAAAAGAAACAAGAGCCCGTTATGGGGTATTACTACGCGCAGCTGAACAATGATGCAAAGAATTAACTGCATATACACTCTCATGAAAGGCCTATTCATCAGTTCCCCGATAATAGCTTGATTTATCCGACCACATATGTTCTGAACTTTCAATATTGTCACGGAATGGTTTCGCTCCCACGAATCAAGTTTTAACGGAAGTTCAGCTGTCAACTATCTTTATTCCGATCTCCATTTAATGGGTATATCTGATAATTTAAAAGTAACATTTCATTCAGCGATTGAAAACTCTCCAAAGCGCCAATTCCAGCACATGGCGCCCACGAGACCAAATCGTCTTCCTATGTTGTTGATGGTTACAACGAATTGCGATAACGAAATGCCAAAATTCACACGATCAACATCAATAATAACAAAGCCATTTTCTAAGTCCTTTTCGTAGGTGATTATCTCTCTTTCAAATTTCTTGAATTACAGAGAAAAAATGGGATCCTTTAAAATCGTGCGCTGAATTCACAAACTCTCGCAGCTGGACACCTTATTAACCGTGCCTTCCGTCACGAAAGTATAAATCTGACAATGGATCTAAAATCTGTGAAAAGTTTCAATCGCTTAGGAGCAAAGCAATGCTATAATTTCTCAAAACGAGAAAAATCTTTGTTGGTACATTACCCAACCATGTTCTCATGCGGAAAAGCATGACGCAACGAGCTCCGTGATTTTCTTATTTCCGGTCGTTCTTTCCCTCTTTCGCTTTTGTATCATGTATTTTTATCGAGTGTTTTGATTGGTTTATCTCGCTCAGGTTATCTAAACCAGCACTCTAATTGGTGGAGACGAACAAAAACCTAGCTTGCTGTCACGTGTGTCGTGAAAACAAATTTCCAAAACAAATTGATCTGCGACAGAAAATCTTTACTGCGCTGAAAGAAAATGTGAAAGTAGTGCTTTGGATCAGGCGTAATTTATCCGACCAACCGCTGTTGATATTTCTGGCTGAGACGTACTTGTGTTTTCTAGAATTGAAGTTTACGGACAACGTTCAGTTGGGTGTAGAATTCTTCATTTTGGAAACATTATTTCGTGTTAGGAGAGCTCTCTTTCGTTTCCTTCGCCATTATGGTTAAAACGTTTCAAGCGTATCTCCCTCACTGCCATAGAACCTATAGCTGTATTCACTGTCGGGCTCATCTGGCAAACCACGACGAACTTATTTCTAAGGTAGGTGCAATATCTTTATCAAAATTAATTGACTTATACGTTTGAAGAGATGATCGTTCGTGGTTCATGACAACAACACAACCATATTGATTCAATTCATTTTATTTTCAGTCGTTCCAAGGTAGTCAAGGGCGGGCGTACTTGTTCAATAAAGTGTGAGTATAATTTTATGGTAGTTTCATTTTCAATTTATGGTGTGGGAAGCGAATTTCGTCTGTGATTATCCTTGACGAATTTTTTTTCGCAGAGTGAACGTCGGCTGCGGTCCAGCTGAAGAGCGAGTTTTGTTGACAGGACTGCACGCAGTTGCCGACATTTATTGCGAGTGCTGTAAAACCACCTTGGGTTGGAAATACGTGAGTATAACTCTTCGAATTTAATTTTTTCTTTCGCTTTTGCCGAATCCGCCATGTTATTTTGCATCAAATTTCCGCTCGATAGTATTGCGTGGGTTTTGCGCGGGATCGAAGCAAAACAACTCTAATATGCAAATTTTGCCAGGTTGAAAACATGACAGCAACTAATGTCTTTGAACGAGTGGTCTAATCATGGCTGCATTTTATCTTTACTTTCCCCCCAGGAACATGCCTTTGAGAACAGCCAAAAGTATAAGGAAGGAAAGTTCATCATCGAAATGGCCCATATGATCAAAGACAATGGATGGGAATAGGCAAATAATAAAATAGGACCTACCACAGTGGACTAAAAATTTTTTATAAGCCCTGTGGGCAGACTTTGGATTTTGTACAGAGATTATGTTTTATTCATAATGTTGAAAGAGCTTTTATACCTAGACAAAACCATACAGATATTCTGGTTTACGAACAGAACAACTGAGACCTCTTTCGTAAAGAAATCGTGGTCATTTTCTCTGTAAATAGAAGAAATTGCTCATCTCGGGGTCTGTCTTGCGCATATTGCGCTGGTAGTTATCTCGTGAACGTCATGAGCTTCCCCTAAGCTTGTAAGGAGAAAGCTTGTATAGTTAAAGTCGTTAATATACTTGAAATCTTGTAAATATAAAAATCATATTGTAGGACATGTTTTATTTGACTTGTGTGCCGAGGAAGACAATATTAAAATTGTTTGGGTTGGTACAAATTTATGTACATTGACTAATTCATCTTCGAAAGATGTTTGATATTCTTAGGGACAAGGAAATTATACAGCGATTGATTTATTATCCGTTAACAAACCAAATCGGACAAATTTGAGTGAGGTTTTTCATTTTTATCGGCCTCACTCTCGTTTTGATTGCGTATCCACGAACTTTATCGCTTTCCTTTAAATACGACAGCGCTTTTTGTTTTAGTAACTGAAGATTTAAAGCAGATTGTTATAGGCTTAGCATTTGCATAATGTTGATATTTAATGCTATCATTTTCTAGAAGAAACGAAATTGAAATCGAATCCTTCATCTTCAGGCAATATAGATAGGTTGTAGATTTATGAAGTCGCTAGAGCGGAAGGTGGAATGTTTTCATATTTTCAGGAAAATCGGTCGAAATATTGTTCATGGTAATTTAACAAATCTTCTGTTGGAAAATAATAACTGCAGTTGTGTCTTGAATCGAATAGCCAGCGAATTTCGGCATTGAATGTGGACATGCACTCTCGAAAGGAAAATTATGCCGCTTTCAGTTCGCAACCCTCTTATAACTGTCGAAAACAACATTTACCCAACAGGGGGAAAGGACAGAACGGGACGGGCTGAAAAACAGTTTGTTTTATGAAACCGCTCGAGGATTAATCCCGTTTTCGTTAATAGACTAACAGTACAACGGTGATTACAGTTTCATTCCAGCCAGCAGGCATGCCGAGCGAACACGTTTTTCAAAATACTCAATGAATTATTTATTCAGGGTTCAAAAACTACGTGATGTAAACAGAAAACGCTTAGCAATGCAATACATCTTAAGATGCTGCTTCCGGAAACTTCATACACTTCTTCAGACTCTTAATGGTGAGTAAGGAGTGAGACGGCCCGATATTTCATCGAACACGTTCAAAGGAACTGGTCTCTAGGCAAACAACAACAGTTGTTCAAAATGATAGTGAATAGAGGATGAGAGAAAAGGAATTATTTTTAAAAAAATTAAAAAGTTTTGAATCCATCAGGAACTTATTTAGCTTCTCTCTCTGGTTAAAAGCAAGCATAGGAAATGAAATAAAGTAATGTCAAATTGAATCTAAGTTGATCTAACGATAGAAATCGGTTCTATACCCCCGATTTGAACAGGTGGGTTCCCTGAAGCAACTTCCGTTGTCACGCTGAAGTGGCTATTGGTCTATGACTTCCGGTCGGGAACATCAACCTTTCGTGCCGTGTTTCCCTTTCGTTTCAAGCCACCAGAGTAGGATTTCATCACGAAAAGAAAGGACCTTCCGCCGAAAGTCAATACTATGTGTATGCAAGGAAACTGTACAAATGACTATGCATGGAAATCATGAGTAGAACTGAATTCAATGCGTTTCAATACCTTTTCCCCTCAGGATATAATATTTTCCGCTCTATAAAAAGCTGCCGGAAAACTTTTGTCCGGGACTTATACCTATATTACGGTTCACTGATTTGAATTGATAGGTCAAGTGAAAAATCACTTAGATAGTGGACCTACTCACGTACGATGCAATCCCTTGACCCGTAAAAGAAAAGAAACATCTTGGCGACCCTCCCCTCCCTCTTTCATCATTCCGATGAAGAGCTCGTGAAGGTTGTCACAGCCCTTGATAAATAATCATGGGGGAACTTTCGCTTTATGTTTTCCTACTTTTCTAGACTACAGTTGTGGTTATCATTTACGTTTGAATTCAAGTTGCATTAGACGACATGGACAGAGGAAACAGTTTTGCTGATTAAAATTAAGGTATCCATTCCAATTTTGCGAAAACGTAACACGCCTCGCTGACATCCTTGAGTTCCTGATTTCGCAAATTTTGATCTTTTATTAAGTTATGTTTTCACACACAATATTTTGGCCAAATATAGCCTTGATCATGACTGAAATGTTTTGAACATCGAAAGAAGAGTTCATAATATTGAGAGCAACTATATATAATCGTCCTTCACCTTATTTTATTGGCTAAACAGATGAAAGGAGCGGGCTTCACTCTACATGATGTGATTTTTCACATATTTTAAATTTCAAACCTTTAAAAAGGTTATAACAGGACCACATCGTCAAAAGTTTTAATTTGGTTTTTATGCATTTGAATTGTTATCAGAGAGATGGTTTGGGATAAGCAAGCAACGGGTCTGTGTTCCCTGTGAAAATTTTCGCGCTTTCTCTGTGAGAAACTAAGTCCTTACCCATTCATCTTTAAAATTATTTTTAAAACGGTTTTATGATGATCTTTCGACTTTATAAGTGATCTTTCGCAGACTCCGTGGTCTTCAGGTCCCTGGCTTCTTGAACCAGTTTGTATTGACCTTGTACCTTGCTCATCGTAAAGGTACTAAATAAGGTTATTTTTCTGAAATGAAAAAAAAGGCCAAGAATTTTTAACTCATCCGTCTAATTACTAAATAACTCGATATTGGCGACTATCATTTATCTCAAAGTTGCCACCCAGCCACGATCTACTCATAAATATACCACCTTAATTCCCTTGAAAGTTTGGGGGAGCAAATTAAGTGATTAACATGTAACTTCTCCTCGTAATATCCTCACAATATTCAGCAAACAGGTAATGAGAATACTAAAAAATATCAGGTAGAAGTTTCCATTGTGATCTAACAACAAATTGCAACTAATTTATAAAGACACGTGTAAAATGGTCAAAGAACTAGATTATCGTGGTACATTGTAGCACTGAACTGAAATGGAGAACTGTAAGGTCCTATTAGAAACCCTGCAATTATTCCCTCTTTCTCACGTCTTTTCCGTATTTCTTTCTTATACTTTCACTTGTTATAAAAGAAAACAAATAAACAAAAAAAGTTGATAAAAAATTAAGTCTCCCGATTAACTACGGCTCAGCTAACTACTGAATCGCGAGCGTTCGAGCGGCATTCTCTGATCGTGAATGCCAGTTTCTAAGGAGTTCCACGCTAGTATTTCCAGTAGCCAAGTAATAGGTTTAAGATAAAACTCTCGTCAGTCTGTCTTCTACATAAAATTTGATTTCCATCGAATTCAGTCAAAACGATTGTTGGAATATTATGCAATTAGCGGATAGAGCTCCTAAAACGGATAAAAACGTGACTCTGCGTATTGTGTTCCGATCGTTTTTCTTTTGAATATACAACATAAAAGATATTCATACTTTAGAAATTAAGTCATTTGTATATTTTGGGAAGGATCAATATATGGCCACGTTTTTTTATCACACGTTTCATAGGAGCTGACATATATGCAGGGAATCGATACTTACTTTTCTTCCCTTACTCCGAAAAAGCAAAATTGTAAGTTATCTTGAGTCGCGGTCCGCATAGAAATACAAGCCTTAGATATATAAGGGTCAGCCTTTAACGACTTCTGCTGTACTATTTTCGTTTGCGTAACAATCGCCAGTTTTTTCCGCTCTTCACCACTGATTGAGAACAGGCTAACAATCCGTGAAGACAGTCAACCGCAACGTGATTATCTAATATTCATATGCATGAGCGCTGTTCTAAAATCCTGCAAAACCAATTAGAGGAAAGTTTATTATTATCAGTACTTCTTATCGCCTCAAACTGCTATATTTTTTAATCGCATTATCAACATTTTCCTGAAAATACCGAACAGCTAAAAGAATTTTGAGGGAATTTAATTTAGGATGACTGAATTTATTTGGCGCTTTGTGGGAACAAATTTATGCGGCTTGAGAAGACTAAAATTTCAACCAAGAACTGATTATTGTGATTTTCTGCTAAAGGGGCAGAAATTCAAAATGTTCAAATTTTCCATCTTGATGAATCGTACAAAGAGGAGCTATGACTGTAGACGATTCATATAATAAAATTTCGAGTAAGTCCAAATAACGACAGCCTTTTGAATCGCATGAAGAGATTCCTTTTCCCATTTTTCAGGGGCGTTCTACTGTGCGAGTTTTTTTTTTTCGACGGAAATTCTACCTGCGGATCAAAGGCAATCCGAAAAATGGTTTAAAATTAAAACCCACTAAATATTTTTGCAAGTTAAACTGAAGATATTATTGATACAGAAGAAAATGAAGACCTTTTCGATACTAAGTGCTTCGTACTTTACAAAAATAAAAGTGCAAACTCTCTGAACTAATTCTTACTGACAGGGCATACTCACTTGTGTGATTGGCCACAAGAGGTCTAAGGGATGAGTCCAAACGCAGCCATCCTCGGAGACCCAAGGGTTCGTCAGTCGATTTCTTGTAAGGGTAAAGGAGCTCTTCTGTTGGTCTCTCAGGATGAATCTCGTTGTTCTTTGAACTATGTTACGATCACCTCACATACTTACTTTGAGCAATATTGTGTCAGCGGTCTCATCTTTAATAGAAACAAAGAGCAGCTGGAGCTACCGAGCGCAGCGTGACAAAACCTACGATTTAAATTAGATCTGAGAAAAAAAATCGTTTATTTGAATTCTCAACATTCTTGAAGGTATAAGGGGAGACTCTACGATAAATATCCATGTTGCTACTGCGAACGCATGCACTTCATTTCCGGCTTGTGCCCGAGGAACCACTCTGTCATTCAGAATAAAGGCCCGGTTTGTTCCACCAAGAAATGGATCAAGGGATATTGAACTATTGTTATCAGGTATGCATAGCAAGCAGCTGTGAACTGTAGCGAATTCAACTACGCCAGCTAAATTAGTAATGTGACTCAAAACTGTTTTGCACTTCCTTCTACGAATGTTAATCGATATGGCGGATCTCTGCGCAAGGAAACTTACGAAAGAGTCGGTAGGTTTTGCTACAGCAAAATAGAACAAAAAAAGTTAGTAGAGTCAGTTCAAAGTTATTATCATGTTTACAAAGACTGTTCAAGTGTCAAACTAAAAAGTTGCTACTAGAGACTGCTATGAGAGAAACATTCAGTTTTGACACATGATCAGCGTATAAGCTTAAACAAGGACGGAGGAATTGTAAATAAAAGGATGCTGGTTGAGATTGTGCCCACTGCAGAAACAGTGTTCTGAAAGTTTTTACAATTAAATTAGAACTTGTTGATGCAGGTTCGTACGCAAAACAACTTATGTTAATAGTATGTTAAGTGGGGTCACGGTCAATTGTTCCGATGGTTTTGACATAACATGACCATCTTAATTTCTGCAAAAGCGTATAATTGAAGTGATATACGAAAATGGCCTTTTTTTTAGGTTATTTCTTGAGCATAAGAGCAATTAACTGTTTTTCAAAAATTATAAAATAATTTTCCTTTGTGTAAAATTCAAATGTCATATAGTAATTGTGCGCTTACTGGTAGTTGTGAGACACTCGTCAACCCTTTGCTGCCCTCTTCTATGATTATTTAGCAATACATTCTCTCAATTGGTAGAATGCAGCAATATTACTCAAGGAGGGAAAGAACAATGACCGCTTTGCTACCCATCCCACCCCTCAAAAATTGCGATGGTACCTTCTAGCACATTCACGGTATTTCTACGTTTTGGAGCTGACGGCTGCATTGTTTCTTCTTGCCTTGGGACTCACTGAAAAACCTCCAGCACTAAAGGCTAATAATTTGAGTCTTCCAGTCCAGGTAAGTGTACACTCAGCTCTAGGCATAGGTGTTAAGGGAGTGTTTTGAAAAAAGGAGTAGAGGTGAGACAGGGTCAGAGAGGGGGGTGGGTGGAATAGGAGTTACCTGCTGAAGCCAAAGGCTGAGGCAGATAACACAGACATGAGGTTTGATCTTTCATGATATCATGCAAAAACCATATTCAATAATTGTTTTATTTACATTTTTTTCAACAATCTACAAAAGAAGACACTTTTCTCTGAGTTTTCAAAAGTTTGAGAACACCACAAGGATGAGCGGCTTGGAAACTAGAGAGACTTTGAATTTGACATGATAACCCAATATCTGCTGCAGATATTGGGTTATTATGTCAACTTCACACGCTATTGTATACTGAATGTGTTTTTATAGGGTTAGCCTAATCCAAACCAAGTCTAATGTATAATAATGTCGATTGACCACCATAAAGAGTTTCTAAAGATGACATTTCCAGTGCTAGCCCTTCATTAGAGCAGAAGCGTGATCCTGATGTAGAAAATTATTATGAGAAGATGAAAAAATGAATATTTTACCAAGGCAATTTTATACTGGGAAAGTATCTCCTGTTTGAGGGACTTAAACTAAGGCCCTTCTACCTCCCCCACCCACTCTCCTTTACTGATGCCAATTACACTTGTGATTATAATGCAGTTTTATTTTCCAGTAAATGCAAAATAATTAAGCTCTAAGTTGTGTTGTAACATGATGTCCTTAAGTATAGAGAGATTGATTCTATAACTGGTCAAGAAGTAAATTGTTCAGTATCAATTTATGATTGAAGTAGCAGTTTTACTGAACAATTAAGAGAGTTTATTACTTCCCAAGGGTAAATGATATATGTAAGATTAATAATTTGATGTTATAAATTACAATAATGAACATTCAATACTGTTTACCAGGTTCATGCAGCCTTGGAGGTTCTCTCACTGATGATTGTCTTTGCTGGACTTGCTGTAAAACTGAAGTGGCAGGGAGCAAAACTTTTCTTCACCCATAAGAGAACCCTTCTCAAGGTACATTACAGTGCTACTTTGGTACATGCAATAATTTTCCATCACAAAGGGTTGATATAGGACTTTTCAAGTGAAAGTATAAAAAAATGAAGCCAAATTAATTACAGTGACAATCAGATAAATGAAAAAGAAATTAATAGAAGCTGATCAGGGCTTGAAATGAAAACAACCAGAATGCTCAGAGGATGGAAAAATGTGCACAAGCTATCACACTGCAATTGGTTGAGGTTGGTTGAGAAGGTAGTAGAAGTTTTCTGGACCAATCACCAAGTGAGTGAATGTAATCTTGGATTTTTTAAACACTTGATTCAAATTTCTCTATCTGGACAAACTGGGTGTGGATGTATAGCAAGATAATAGCACCATCTTGTACTTAGAGGAGATTTGAGACTCAATGAGAACACTGTATAAAAATGACAGGGATTCTTACCATCTAGAACCTCCTAAATATTACAGATCAATATGGGTCTGGCTTATGCTTTTGCACTTGCTAAAATGCCAATTCAATAAATGTATTAATTCAGTTCAAATGTTTCACCTACCATCAGGTTTTTATCTGGTGCATGGTATTTATAGAAGCCATTGTGGTGCTGGTGAGAAGGGAGAATCATTTTCGAGTAACAAGATCTCTGCGCCCACTCTTTCTCATTGATACACATTACTGTTTTGGGGTGAGAAGGTTAGTCTCATTCTGTAGTTAAAATTGAAGGTAAAATTTTCACTGTGATTTGTGTAAATAAATTTGTTGTTTATTGCTCCAACCTCGAGTACTGACAGGGTCCAAAAATCTCTCCTTCTAGTAGAATTTTCCTACCAAATTCATGATCTATGGTGAAATAACACCAATCTCAAAGACAGATGTAAGGGAAGGGATCAGGTTTAGGGTTCACTGTTCAAGGGCTTTAGATCAGATTATCTTGGGGATCATCCTATTGTGAGTACACCTCCCAATCAGGGGAAACAGAGCCGTAACATATCCTGATAAATTAAACAAGAGACATCAGCCTTGTGTCTAAGAAACTTTTGGACAATTCTAAAATAAAGGTCAGATGACCGTAACGCAGTAAAATGATGAAGCAGAAGATGACAATGATGGCCACGAGTAGTTTATGATGCCCCCCAACCACCACACCTCAGCAGAGTGCTGGGAGTGGTTCTATCAATTGAAGATGTTGGCAGCACAATATCTTTGGCTGTTTTGAACTTTTACCTTATGAAATGAATGTAATCACTTCCAGATGTAAAAATGAGATTCGTGCATTTTTTTTGCTTTTAAATTTTAGGGTTCTAAGACAGATTTTACTTTCGCTTCCTCCAATCCTGGACATGCTCTTTCTGCTGTTTTTTATCATGGTAATCTTTGCTGTGTTAGGTAAGAAATGAGGAAAATTGTCATAGAGAAATCAGTTGTTAGCTTTTATGTTGTTCATTAAAAAAAAATGATATATGAAAAGGTACTGGTTACCTATTGAAATTTGATTAGTGTTATAACTCCATCAATTCCTAAATTAAATGATTTCTGGAGAATAGTTATCTTGTAATGTAGATTAAAGAATTGTTTTTCTGGTTCACTGATCGTTCTAGAGTTGAAGAGACATTTGGCTCAGGTGTGATCCATCAATTCTTTTAGCTTTGTGTTATGAAACAATGTTTCACTCACAGTTCCTGCAATGGGGCAGATGCTGACATCCATTGAATCTAACAACATGCGTCAGAGAATTGTTTTATATTGATGGAACCTCCAAGTGTCTATTGAATCTCAATTCATTTATTAAACTTGAAAGCTTGTAAAATTTGGAAAACAACAAATTGAAATAGGCCATTACTTTACAGTATACACTGATGGAAATGTCCTAAACTTGAACATGCAGGGCATGTATACAGATAAATCAAAACAACCCAAATATCCTAAGCAAAACAGAATTTTGTAACCTTTGATTGTACACATTGTGATATATAAATACAAAAATAAACAAGATGACATACCTCTTTCCCCATTCTATTACTCGACTAATATTCTGACAATCCTTCAATTTATCTTCACTGACAATACTTGTAACTCACACGTGTCTCATGGCTGAATGAAACATAATGCAGACAATTTGAAAGTCTGTCACACAAAACAAAAGAGTATTGAAAGTCATGCAAATAACTGAAAATAGCCTTTGTTACAGTTTCCTTCTTGCTTGCAGGGTTTTACCTGTTTTCTGACAATGAAAAGGATGAGGTAATTTTAATTAGTTACTAAACCTATTTATTAAACATGTTGACACATCTGATGGACCAATTTTCTTTTTCACCATCACACCTCACTCGCATGCTAGATTATTCAATTAAAGAAAAGTTCACTGCTTATTGGCTTCTAGTCTTTCCAAGGACTTCTATTTAATTCAGTCTCTTTTTGCAAAATTAGTTTTTCAGCAGCTTCTGGAGAAGCTTCATCAGCTTATTTGTGTTACTTACAACAGCAAAGTAGGTGAAATTTAATTGTTATTTATAAGTTAAACAAGAATGATTTTAGGTCATTGAAATATTCGCACTCTTATTAATTACACTAAATTTGTTAATTCTGTTCTACAGTTATCCTGATGTAATGATGCCAGCATATAACAGATCACAATGGTCGGTTATCTACTTTGTTGTTTACATCGCAATTGTTCTTTACTTTCTCATGAATCTGGTAAGGTTTCAAACAACTACAATGCATGAATTGTAACACAGATATGCACCACATTATTGCTTATATTAATATATTTCCACTGGTTTCAACCAATCTGACAAGTCACTTGACTCTAATGATGACTTCTGCTCAGGTTGTTGAAATGTCAGTCACTATAACTGACAACAATCTGAGTCCTCTTAGGACTACTCTCACCTGGACAATCAGACTACATGGTCATTTACTGTGTATGGCAATTACCACCCAGTTTTCTTGACCTGTTTCTTTTAACCTTTTAACCCCCAAGACTAGGATCTAATTTCTCCATAAATGATATATCAATCCCATATATCATCCCTGAATCAAATTAAGGGCGTTAGAATAAAGGAAATGATTGTGAGGTCAAGAAGCTCTTGATTATTATGTGAATTCTCCCTGTAAGTACCTTAGAAAACGTATAGAGAACTTGTAAACTAATATTAGGGTGGAAAGCTATGGGTTGAGCTTTCACCCTGAGAAGTACCTGATTAAATTAATTTCTACCAACAATATCTCTAAATTGTCAAACAGGCAGCAGATAAGAACATAAACAATTAGAGAAAAATTATTAATCAGGAGATATCTTTTCATGTTAGTCGCCAGACCATAAGTCACTCAGTACTTTATCATGACAAAAAGTTTTGTAATTTTTTTTCCAAATTTTGGCCCTAACCAAAATTAATTGCATGTAGCCCATGGTAAACATATAATGTTTTCCTGCTTTGACATTGCAGCTGTTGGCTGTGGTTTATGATACCTTTACCAACATTGAAAAGAATAAGTTTAGAAAACTCTTTCTTCATAAAAGGTAAGAATTTCTGTGGCAGTTGAATTTTGGCTAGTGTCTGCAACCTGATGGTTTTAGTTATTATAAGGAATTCTAACTACCCCATAATGTGACTTCAATTCCATTCACAATATTTCTTTCTTTTCCCTCTATTCTCCTTCTCGAGGGTCCAGGTAAGGGAGGAAGGAAAGATCGTAAGAATCTGACTTACTTCAGAGTACAAAAAGTTTCTCAGACTTACTGCAGTGTTTGTTAAAGTCTTGACTGGTTGTTCTATTTTCTTTAAGGCATGCTGTAAGACAAGCTTACAAACTTCTCTGCAGTGAACATGTAAGTTGTTGATATGTTAGTAATGTATCATTTTTTTATTAATAATTTACTGGTCAGTCAGTCAGTCAGTTAAATATGTCGTTTTCTGTTTGCCAGTGGAGCAGACAGCCAGGAGACAAGAACCAGTATGCCATCAGTCAGTCAGTCAGTCAGGAATTAGGTTGTCAATCTATTGGTTTGTCTGAGTTAGTCAATACCCAATGTATTAATTCACTGAAATAGTCCACTTTGAAATAACTATTGTGTTAAACTAATTACGACAACTAAGGTCTTGATTGAAGGTAGGGTCATTTATGTGTCACTAACAAACTTCCTGTCACAACAAAATTAATTTACTTACAAGGTAAGATAATCTACACCTTTTTTCAATAGCCTCCACATTGGATCCCATGGGAAACTTTTAAAGGCTTGATGTCATTTTATAAACCCAAAAAGAGTAAGTGCTTTGATTTATTTCTGGCTTATATGTAAAAAATGTGCTCAAAGTGTTTATTACTTTTTATAGGTTCACAGTAAATGATAATATTTTGAATATTATTATCAACAGTCGGTCAATAAGAGCCTAGATTAGTCCCATATCTTACTCACACACTATTGTTGTGGTTTAAACGTTTTAAAGAATATTATTAAGGTCATTAATCTAAAGATTGTTACTTTTGTAACAGCTGATGTCGAGAAATATCTTGTTTTCAAGTCACTAAATAAAAGTAACACTGGAAAATTAAGGTAATGTTCTTTTTCAAAAATGCATTATTTGTAGGTTTTTCTAAAGATTTGGCTTATCGGTAATTGTAGTTTAAAATTTTATTGCTTTCTACATCTGGTACCATTGTGGCTTGACTGTGACTCCATATTTATACTTACTTGCAGTTATCAACTTTTATTTTAGCCTGGATGAATTTTACAATGTTTTTGAAAACAGTGAGATGAGGTGGAAGCGGGTATGTATCTATTATTTTATCCAAAGAAATTGAAGAACATTTTGAAAAACACAATTTTTAAAACCTGCTAAAACTGCTGAGAAAATCGTGTTATGATTTATCTCACACGGTTACTGTTGTTGTTTTCTTAAAGGTAACAGAACATTACAATCAGTGGTTTAGCTGTTTCAGGTCATGTACCTGTTTGTACCGCACACTCAAAGGCAAGATGTAATATCCATGTTCAGTGTACTTGAATCGTCTTTTTTAGGGCGGTGTTCGAATTGAGTGTCGTAAAACCAAAACCAGATTAGCGACAACCGCCAATGAGAAGACAGGAAAATACTTTAAGAACCAATGAGAACTTAAAGTGAATACAAGCAAATTGCCCAAAGCGCGGGAAAACGCGGGTGACCATGTCGCGATTGGTTTTAGTTTTGAATCTGATTGGTTGAGGAAGTAGTGGAAGTCTTCCGGACCAATCACCAAACGAAAGAAAGCAAAACCAAAGCAATTCCGATTTACTTTCGACACTCCATTCAAAATTGCTATATAAGTGGGAATTAATTGTCCAACCAAGACAGGGAGGATAACGACTGTGTAAACACTTATTTTTACCTCTGGTTCCTTTGGCCTTGGATAGCTCCACAATTACATCTCTCTTTTGAAAAGTGGAGAATTGTGAGCAGTTGGCAGAAAGTTATTCATTAAAACTTTTCTGACATGGAATTCTCTTAAATCTCATCCACTTCTAGTGGCCTATTTGACAATCTTTTCAAAAAAAATTATTCTTGAACTTTTTTAAAGTTGAAAGTCTTTTTCTGTATATCTCCCCGGATTTTTAAGGGACGTTTTGTTTGTAACACTTTGTGGGCTTGTTAAGAAATATCCTTGAACATTTTAAACCTACAGGATCATTCATAATTCACTGAAAACATTGAAAATAGTTCAAATTAATATTCTTAGAAAAGTTTCGAGAATGCTTGGAAAGTGAACGATTTTTTTTGGCCAGTCCAATAATCAGCATGGTTAAAAAAGCTTCCTCCGCTTGATTGGTTTAGTTTCTAAACCTTAATTTCGTGCCAAATGCCAACTAATGATTATACTCTTATCGGAACTTAGATGTGTAAATTCGTCTTGATACAAAAGTTTCATTTCTTTTCACAGGTGTTCGCTGGCTCATATCACAGAAAGCTTTTGAGTTCGTCATCTGTAAGTCTTCAGTTTTGAATCTTTGCTGCTAAATTGTAGAATTGCATTTTACTCGAAATTAGCAAATCCACTCACACTTTGAAATATTGTCTTGTAATTTCCAGAAATTTCAAGAGTTGAAACATAAAGAAATTAGCTCATTTGTTTTTAGAGGCCGTGTCGTAATAGCACTACTTCAAAGCTTCATTCAACCTACGAACAAACATTTATTGGCCTTGAACTCCGCTTTCAGGACATGCTTTGCTAGTCTTCATAATACATTTAGATCAATTTCTGCTTTGAATAATCGTCTTTAAAATTTTCTTCTTTTACAGATGGAATTATTATTGCAAATGGGATTTCAGTTGTTGTGGATATCATTGTGTTTTCCAGTAAGTTATTTTCTTTTCTTTGATTTTAAGCTTATCGAATTATGTCGTCAAAGAATCTGTTTAGAACTGAAGTGTCTCATTACACAACGCAATGAGGCGGCGACTTATCAAAACTAGATTTTTCTTGATCGGCCATGTGACTATTACCAAAAGCGGGAAAAATGCCCGTGAACAAGCCGCAGCGCGTGTTGGGTTGGCCTCTGATGGCTAAAATAGTGGCGTGAGTTTTGAGAGCCAATTAGAAAACGCGGGGCACTTACCCAAATAAAGAAATTCTGCGCATCCGTGCATAGATGATATTTGTTCTGACCGAAAAATGTGTTGAGCGTTCCATGCAAAAGATTTTATTTACTCTTTATTTGCAGACACTCCTCAAAATGAAAGGCAAAAGAAGATAAGAGAGCTCCATTGGTACCATATAGTCTTCATTTGTAGTGAGTTGATTCATCAGTGTCACATGTATTTTATTCCTAAAAATTTTTTATTTCTGATACGATGCATAGCTCGATTAATCTTTATTGAAGTTTTTTGGTTGGTTTCGTATTGGACTTAAAATATTTGGGCTGTTTTTTACGACTCATGTAGATTTCCTTGAACTTATATATCCATGTAGTTATGAGGATTTCCTTCAGATATTCACAATGTAACTTTAATATTTCCAGTTTATGCAGTAGAAGCCTCGCTCAAACTCCTTGGTCTTGGTTTCAGGAAATATTTCCTGTCTGGCTGGAATATGTGAGTATTCAAGAACGGAGTTTAAGTTGTGCTTTCTTGTGTTGCAGTTTAGGCTATCGTTTCTGACTTTGTAGATTCTGACTTGCAACCAACTTTTGCTCAGCGCGGCGCAGTTGCTGAAACTCTGAACAACCGTGAATATCAGCACTGGTTGCTTTTTGCACGGTGCACTACTATGTGTAGTAAGTAAACAGGCATTAAAAGGATAGATACATTGCAGTTGTTTGTTTGTTTGTTTGTTTTGTGGGAAAAAACTTTGAAATATGTCAACTGTTATTTACAGCGCCAGCTGTTAGCAAAAGACAGTAGATATGTTTTAGAAGAGTTTTCCCCGTTTTCAAATCAGTAGCTTTATAATAATCTGGGATTAATAGTCGGTATCTGAGCAACTGTACATGTGCACCTACCCCTCCCCTAACCCAACATTAACCTTAGCTCAGTTGTTATCAGTTGACTGTTGTCGGGTTAGGGGAGGGGTGGGTGTGCAGTTACTCCATTATTGACATTGATCCATTAACTGTCTTATTGTGAACTAAACGCTTCTATGGTTACGCTATCTTACAGATTCGACTTCTTTGTAACTGTGGCTGGCTTTATTGGTGCAGTGTCAACATCCTTCAGTTTTATCGTCTGTTTGAGACCCTTGAGACTTTTGCTGTAAGTACTTAGTTCTTTTTAAAAAATCTTATTGAGTTCTTCATGTTACTAAAGCAATTGATATTCCTTGCAGACTTTTTAAATTGAAAGAAAGATACCGTGACTTGTTTGAGACAATAGGTGTCTTATTACCTCGAATGGCCAGGTAATACGTTCTCTGTTTTTTAGTGGAATTGTTCACTGCCAGGTAGGCGTGGCACTGTTGCTTAAAGTTTATTCATGGCTGAGCGTGAGAATGATATTTTTCACGCAACGTCTTCCACTTTGCTAATGCGATTTGCTAACGTCGCCCAAGCACTAACGTTACTCACAAGAAACGATTTTTCTCTCAGGGTTGCCGTCGTCATTCTGTTGATGTACTACTCGTTTGGAATCATTGGAATAGAATGCTTCTCTGGACTCGAACTAAAGGATTGTTGTGTGTAAGTATTCTCCTTTCTAATAACAGTCTTTCATCGAATATTTTTTCACATGGATCGAGCGGAACTGATGGGTCAGAGAGGGAGGAGTGAATTCCTTTAATATTATTTATAAGTAGTCTCTCAAACTAATGATTGTGCACCGAAACGACCGCATGAAGACCAAGCTCGATCTAATGTTCCGCGTGAAAGTGATATAATGCGAGTCGATCGCGTTAAGGCTGGTTTGGTGTGCGAACATTAGGGGAGGTAGTATTCCGCATATGTTTGTAACCAGAAATAGCTCAAGTGGAATCGACGTATTCCACCCAATAACCAGTCTGTCCTCCTCTTTCCCTTCATTATCTCTTGGATGGTCTCAGTCCAGCCACAAGTCACTCTTAGCTCGGAGGTTAAAAGTCTTACGAACTAGTTGTCTGGAAGATCGTTGGGTCGAATCCCAGTTGAAGCGCTGAACATTTGTTTCTCTCCAGTATGTGACGGTCAACGACTCAACAACCTCGTCTTTCCTACCATTTTATTTTATTTTGCACACTATCATGCAGAACAGGCGTTTCTTGGACGCATTTTAGTCGAGCAGTAATTTTCCGGTTGTGCAGCGGAAGCAGTCGCCCTTGTTGCTCGCCACGCTTGAGAAATGCACCAAAATCCTCTAGCATTTTAAGACCTACTGATACATGGAGAGAATGAGTTGGACGTTATGAGTTAAATGTCGCTATTCCTGAATGTATCTCATCTCTAATTGTTTTATTATTATTATTATTATTTTGCACAGAAACACTTCGTGGGAAGGAGAATACAAGGAGGGTGGCTATTATTATTTAAACAACTTCAATGATTTGCTACATTCATACGGTAAGCGCCTTGAAACTGTTTCTAGTTAAATTATTATTGCAAATAGGGAAGAACCACAAGCGAAGCGCTTTTTTTTATTAACGAACAAAAGATATCTAGTCTAAAGATGACTAGTTTCTGTGTTATAGGCAGCTAAACCACACTGAGGGAGACCCCACGCTTACGCTCATTTTCCGCCGTTTTCTCAAGTCCGTTCTTCATTCGGTCCTCTCCGAGAGGGGGATCGGGGCGAGGTGAGCGCAGATTCATTTCCCGAAAAACGGCAGGTAATCGAGCGTACCCTCTGTCGCTATCACCCCGGTACTACAAAAGACCTCTTTTCACCCTTCAAATGTAAAACGTCTGTAAACATCCGCTAATTGGCGTACACTTATCATAACTCACAGAAATAGCCCATCATGAGCTATATTTTGATGAATGGGCCTTTTACGGATGCGCGGGTGATTAAGAATTCAAAACCTTTTTCCAACTCACCCACCAACCCAACTCTCCTTTCCGCCCCATGCTTGCAATTTTATCAAATTCATTTAAATGACCGCCTGTCCATTGGAGAGTTTCATCACATCGTACATAACCGTTTTTATTACGTTTCTCTGTAGTGACTTTGTTCGAGTTGACAGTGGTAAACAACTGGTTTATAATAATGGTAAGAAAACGGGATTGCTTGATTTAGTGTTCCACTCGCTTAGTGAGTGCACGCGATCCCTGTGCATCATTTAAGTTGTATTCAACTGGTGTGGTGGAGTTATTGGCTTGTTTTGTGCAACTTCTGAATTAGTTTTTTCCTTTTCACAATCAGCTTTCTTTTCCTATTTATTGATAGGAAGGGATAGTTTACCTGACATCAGACTGGGCCAGAGTATTCTTTATGTCATTTTACATTGTCACAATGGTAGGTGTTAAAATCACCGATTATCATAGTAACACAAGTTTTTAGACAAAGATCTGCATACTTGGGCTTTTGAAATAGCCTCGGGGGAAGGGGTACTTAAGTCAATGTTTGCTGGGTGTGTGTCGCTGTCCTCTCAGAACCTCTACCCCATTATAGACTGTTCCGTGGCCAATTAGAGATCCCATCTTAGTCACATTTGAGCCTATGTAAGTTCAGGAGAGCTTCTCTTCAGCGAGTTTCTTAGGCTACCTACCAGGTCCATATGCGACACGCTTCCTAGAAGGAATGCAAAAAGCGTCGTGGAGATAGAAAAACTATCGAATGAAGAGATGACCATGATGGTAGATGAGTAAAAAAAAGATCAAAAACGTTTCTGAAACATTTCAGGCGTTGTTAGCTTCTTTTATCTTCTTCTATGTGCCTTTTAGAAAAGAACTATTTTAGCATATTTTTACCAGTTCTCGGTAATCAAGTATCCTCTTTTCCTATCTTATTTGGCCAGGTTGTTATGACAATAGTTGTGGCGTTTATCCTGGAAGCCTTTCTCTTCCGGATTGAATATAGAAAAGAACATCCTACCGACGAGAAAGGTGAAGAGCGTCAGATATTACTGTAATCGAGACTGTTCTGGACCACTCTGCCATAAATAACAACATTGAAATGTTTAAAACGTTCCCCGTTGTCTCTCTTGTCAATGAATTTCGTATTTCAAAGATCACGTATCTTCGATCGTTAGTGGTGTCACAGAAGTTGTAGAGCAAAATAAACCTACGTGGTGTGTGTTACCTTTCAACATACCATAGAAAAAGGAAAAGGGTTCGCAAAGCGTACACATTATACGAAGTGGCGTTAAGTTTTTCGCTTGTCAAGATGGAGAATAGCTGCGCTTAGAGGAAAGTGTGTTCAATATTGACAAAATGGTTTACCTCTCCACAGAGGATATGAAAATCAGGATGGAAATCATTGTGACCTACGAAGAACTCCTGGCCTTGGGCGAAAGCTATGTGGAAGATCTGCAGCCCGATCAGCCCGTAAGAATATCATTATTTCGCAGTCTATCAGACATTTTCATTCAACTCCCAAGTTTTCTGTTTTTAGAGGAATGTTTCTTGAGTCATGAAATACCACCTCTGTGACTTCAACTCAAATTCCTGGCCCATCAAGGGACCAATCAGAGATCTGCCGCTAACTCACGCGGCAAGCATAGTACATGATTTCCCACTACGGTAGTATCAAAATGACCGTATATTTAAGCTTTCCATTTGCGTAATATTCCGTTCAACAACTGAGCAATAACCTGAAAACTTACAATCTATTATCACTGGTTATCGAAATGAATTACGAGATACCATTCATGGGTCCCGCAAGACAGCTTCCTATGCTCGTCAGACACATTGAACCGTTGAGAGACCCATAAGTTATTTTGAACGTATAAACAGGTATCGTTATTTAAGGGTTCTTGTTCATAAATTTTACA